TTGAGAAATGTAGTGTTTGCATTTGAACCATAACCTAGGCCGATTCTTGTAAATTAACCCATGTTCATGATTTTGCTTTAGTTATATTCATTAATTAATCCACGAAGCATTCATGTTGAATGAAACAATAGAAGTTAGTGATGATTCTAGCTTAATCTTGTTTTGCATGAGGACAAGCAAAAGCTTAAGTTTGGGGGTTTGATTGTAATAAAATTTTAGTGATTTATCATACTTTTTAGGGCATTTTGTGAATATTTGCTTGATTTAGAGTGGTAAAAATACTTTTTATTACTTAAATATTCAATGTGTAAGTAAAAATATGAAAAAAGTGAAAAAATTCAATTTTTGAGTCATTTTGGATGCATTTTGCTGTAAAAATCCACCATTCGGCCAAACTTAGTCAAGCTTGTGCAAATGCCATACTTGAGAGATTTTTCATAACTTTTCTTCATTACTTCCTTTGCATATTAACTTCAATTAAACTTTAATTCAAGTTTATTCTTCATAGTTTCCTTGTTTAAATATTATTTTTAGCTCATTAAGTCTTTGTCACCTTTGTTGTAAAGTTTTATGAGCCAAAATTGATGTAATGCCCAAGTGTAGTTTTTTAAGCTTGAATTGGAGTTAGAAGTTTCTAGATTTCTACAAGGGTAATTTGGTAATTAAATATGACTCTCAATTGGCTAGAAATTAAAGATCAAATGGAATAGGATTGGTGCCTAAAATTAAAGACAAGGAGTAGGTCTTAACCATTAGATGCATTTGATGATCAAGTGAGATTAGCGTTGAGTTTTAAATTCAAAGAGGAAAGCCAATGGGCAGCTGCTTAGTTGGAATTTTGGAAGCTCCTAATTGGTCATAATTTTAACTTTTTAAAGTTCACAAGATCAAAGGAAGAGAGCTTGAAGTGAAGTGAAGTGAAAAGAAGCAAATTAGGAAGCTTATGAAGCAAAATTGAATGACATGGAAATATCTAGCTTATGTGGCATCCTAGTAGGCTATTTTTTGTAATTTGATTGGTTGAAACACATCATTCTTGACCTTAAATAAGGGTAGTGGTTGGCCAAAGAGGGAAGTTTTAGAAAGTTTTAGATTTTTTTTCATTTCTTGCATTTTACTTTCTTATTAATTTTCTCGCTAGTAATTTCCTCTTTGTTCATTTAGAGGGCTGTTTAGGAGAAAATTCTTAATATTTTCCAACAAAAAGTTTACTTTTCTTGCATTTACTTTTCATGCACTTTAAGATTCAAGCAACAAAATTTACTTTCCTTTAAATTTTCTTACATAATCAAGCTTTTCTTTTACTTACTCAATGTTGTTTAGCAATTTCTTTCATTGCACTAATTTCAGTTTTCTCATTAGATCTCAATTAATTCTTAGGAGTTTTGATCCAATTTTTTTCTACAAACTTTCAATTCATGGTACTTCAAATCTAAAAGTTTCACTTACAAGTTCATTCTATAAATTTTTCTAAAATTCTTGGAAGTTTAAGTAAGAGCTCTAGCAACATAGCACTTGAGGAGTTTTCTCTCATTGCTAGGTGTTCGATCCATTCCTCATTTACTTCTGCTTGTTATTTCACTTGTTTACTTGCTTTATTTCAATTTCTTCCTTTATATTTGATGTTTTCCTTGGCTGTTTGCCTAATTTCTTTCAATTGCTCCATTTTTACAATTTATACACTCGATTTTTGTTGAAGTTGATTGAGCTTGTTAATGCATTGTTTTAATTGATTTTTTTGCTTGATCTTGTAGTTAACTTATAGATCTAAGTTGCCTCAACTCATTTCAAGTTCATTCACACTCTAAGATTATAGATCTACGTTTTAATTCCACTGTTTTTATATTTCTAGCTTAAAGATTAGTTCGATTTTCAAATATTATGATCTTTTTTTGCATTTTCAATTGAACAATTTTAATTCAATTTAAGTTAATTCTTGTTTTACTAATGTTTTTGCATTTAAGATTTTGTTTTAGTATGAATTCATTTAGAGTTGAAGTGCATTTTCATTTGAAGTTTAATTGTTAGGTAGTTTTGGTTTTTGTTAGTTAGTTTCGGTTTATAGTTGAATTACATATTCAAGCCTTTCACTTTTTGTCTTGTTTTAATTCAAGCTTTATATTTTATGTTCATTAGTTTAGAGATGATTTCCTTTAATGTTTGATTTAAATTAATGCAATTTAGCTACTACTTTGCATAAGATTACATGTTATGCATTCTTTTTACTTGATTTAGTATACTTTTGGTTTGTGCAATTTACTTTCTTGTTTGTATTTTCTTGTTGAGCTTAGAGTAATGATGCCTCTTGTTTTCGAAAGAATTATTGTTAGATAGATATGTCAATAATAGATACTTAGCTAGGCTCTCTTACTAATCTTCGTGGGAATGATATTTTGAGTTTGATCACTATTATTACTTAAATGATCTATACACTTGCAGAAATCTCCAATCAAGTTTTTGGTGCTATTGTCGGGTATTAGGTGTCAAGATTTCTTTTAGACTAATATTGTACTTTGACGTGCTTTTTTATAGATTAATTCATCCTTTAGTGTACATATGCTAAGCTAGTTACTAACTTGCCATGAGTTTGTTTCTTTAGGGTGTACAAAATTAACTTTTTTGTTGTCTCATTTCATTAGTTGTACACACTTAGATCATCTCTTTAGAATTCTTTTATTTGATCTAGCTTTCTTTATGGCCAATGTATGTAATCAATTAGGAGTCGTGAGTTGATCTCTCTAGATCTTGAGATATAAAACAAACTTAAGAAAATTAGAAAAGAGAGACAAATTGATTTTACCATAATAGCACTAGAACCCTTAAAGATTATACTATGCCCAAGCTTAATGGTTTCCAAACTAGCATTAGGAGACCAATTATTCAAGCCAATAACTTTAAGACTAAACCTGTAATTATCCAAATGATTCAATATTTAGTGCAATTTAGTGGTTATGCAAATGAGGACTTTAATGCTTACTTATGGGATTTCTTGGAGATATATGATACATTCAAACATAATGGTGTTATTGAAGATGTCATTAAACTTAAGTTATATCCTTTTTTCCTTAAAGATAGAGCTAAAAGGTGGTTATCTTCCATGCCATTAGATTCTATTACTAGCTGAGATGATTTGGTAAGGTGTTAGCTAGTGACCCTGTTCATGCTACACTTAGGGATGTAGTAGATAAGTGTGAGGTTGAGAAAAATGAAGTAAATGTTTAGAAGTAAGAAAAAGGTAAAGAGGTTAATGAAATGATAAAGCTTACCCAGATTTCAATACCTAGTTCCTCTAAGCCAACTCCTTTAGAGTTGAGCCACCTAGACCTTATATTCTTTTCCTTCAAGGATTCCAAAAGTAAAAAGAAAAGAAACAATTCTTAAGTTTTTAAAAATGTTTAACGAACTTCACATTAATATTCTTTTTGTGGATACATTAAAGTAAATGTCTACCTATGTTAAGTTCATAAAGGATATAATCTTTAGAAAAAGGAGATTAGAGGATTATAAGACAGTGACATTCACTTATGCGCGTAGTTCATTGATTCAGAGAGGCTTGTCACCAAAACTTAAGGATCTTAGTAGTTTACTAGTCTTTGTATAATCAGCAATGTGTCCTTTGATAAGGAATTATGTGATTTAGAGGCTAGTATCAATTTAATGCCCTTGTTAATTTTCATAAAGCTAGGCATAGGAGAAGCGAAACCCACCTCTGTTATTCTGTAATTGGTTGATTGATCATTAAAATATCTTGAGGGATGGTAAAGGATGTGATAGTTAAAGTAAAGAAATTTATTTTCTTTACTGATTTTGTCGTCTTAGATATAGAGGTAAAACATGAGATCTTGATCATTTTAAGGAGGCCTTTCTTAGCAATTAGTAAAGTTATCATAGATATACAGATGAAGGAGGTGATTATGAGAGTTCAAGATCAAGAGGTCAAATTAAATGTTTTTAAAGCTTTGAAGTATTTTGATGATTTTGGTGAGTATTTGAGGGTAGAAGTGCTTAGTAGCTTAGTTGATAATATTTTTCAAATTGAGCACATGAATTCTCCCTTTAAGGAACCTTTTGAGATTAATGATGTAGTAGACATGGATCTAGATGATGTTGAGAATATAGTTATGATTTTTGTGTGTCAATTTGCACCTACTAGTGTTGAACCTTTAGATGTTTTTGAGTTTGTCCCTAAAATGTTGAAACATTCTATTGTAGAGCCACTAGTTTTAGAGCTTAAACTATTGCCATCTCATATTAGGTATGCTTATTTAGGAAAGAATGATACTTTGCTTATGATCATTTCAGCTTTTTTAACTGTGATCAAGTGGTCCATTTATTATATATGTTAAGAGATCATAAGTTAGCTTTAGAATAGTCCATAGTTGATGTTAGAGGAATCGATCTTTCTTTTTACACACACAAAATTTTGCTAGAAGATGGATATAAATCAACCATAAAGCATCGGTGTTGTTAGAATCTAGCCATGAAAGAGGTTGTTAAAAAGAAAATAATCAAATGGCTTAACATTAGAATCATAAATTCGATACTCATGAGTTAGTCCAATCCAATATATATCAAAAAAAGATAGGATGAGTGTAATGTCATATGAAAACAATGAGATGATATCCATTAGAATTGTGACTAATCGGAAAGTTTGTATGGATGATTAAAACTAAATAAGGCGAAAAGGAAAGACTACTTTCCTTTGCTTTTCATTGATTAGATGTTGAATGGATTATCCTACCATGAGCTTTGTTGCTTTCCTGATGGATACATTGAATATAATCAAATTATTAACATAGTACATGAAATTTAATAATTTTTTATATGACATTTAATCAATTGTTAATTAATACAGTTCATCTCTAATATTATTAATTTTTAGTGAAGATTGAATAAATAACTTTTAAAGTCTCATTTTAATTAACAAATTTATAATTTAATTAATACATTAAAAAAATTTAAAATTAAGATACTATAGTAAATATTTGATAATAGTAAATATTTGATAATAGTTTAGAAGGGATTCGTTCCATTATTGTAATTGAAGGGGAATTTCTTCGGACAAGCAACAACTCGCCGGTCTTATACAGGAAAATAACTGTTCTGTTTCAGGTGAGACTCTGCAAATAGAGAGGCTCTCCACCTAAACAGTCCAAAGTCCAAATACCCAAAAAATCAAAACGGTCTCTCTCTCGCTTCTCAAATCTGAATTCAAATTTTCGCCCAAAAAAAAAAAAAAAGAAATAGTCTTCGATTATGGCTTTTCACGGGAAGAAACTCATCAACAACCCTAACGGTTCGTTCTTCTTTCTCTTTATTTCTCACTATTGTCTTTCTATTACTTATAAATTACCTTAGATTTTCTGAATTTTGTTTGCCGAGAACAAAACAAGGAAAAAGAATTTAGTTTTCTTTTCTTTTTCTCACTTGTCTCCCCTTCTCTATTGGTTCATCCCTTTTTTTTTTTAAAGTATGGAATTGGCTCACATTTCCAAATTTCTTGTTTATTTGTGTTCGGATTGTGAAAATGTGGAATTTTTTTGTTGTATTTGTGCTCTGCCCTCTAATTAGCAATTAGAAAATGGATAATATATATATATATTATAATTTTTATTTTTTTATTGAATAGTAATTCTTGTTTGTTTCTGTGTTTTCCTTCATTTCCTGAGAAAATTGAAAGCTCAGAGTTAAGCAAGGCTATTGCTAAAATAGGAAAAAAAGAGAAGTTTTCAGGCAAATGATTACTATTTCATTTCTTAAATTTTCTGCATTAGCTACACTGTGTTTAGTGCTAAATCAACCTTTATATTCTATTGTTTCTCGGTTGCATTACTTTACTATGCCCATTCTACCAATCTAGAAGATATAAAATATGAAAAACAATTGGGTGACCTATTAATAAAGTGAATTTACAATTTTAGCTTTCTGTTTTATGAAAAACCATTTTTGACGTTCTTTTGTTATGATGGCAGCAGATGTCGTGACTGAATTTATTGAGGGTCTTGTGGAAACCTATCCAGGACTCCAGTACTTAGATGGTTTCCCTGAGGTTATTTGGTTTTCATCTTTGCCCATGTTCATTACTGCAATTAGGCTTTATATTCACAAAACAGTAACTTGTTAATTTGCAGGTTAAGGTTGTAATACGTGCTGATGTTTCAGGTTCAACATATGACAAGGTTGCAGTCATATCAGGTTCGGACCCTGCAAAGCTGCTAAAAATTCATATCTGTTTTCTTGTGCTGGAAAACTAAATCTAAATTCTATTCTTCATTACTTTTAATATCTTCTTAAGCGACAACTTTAGAGCTCCAGTCACCTTTTGCGTTTCTAATGATTTTGTCAATCAATTAGTTTAGCCTGCTCTTTGTTAGGCAACTTTGGGGACCAAATTTGTAGTTTTCCTTAACATGTATGCTCAGAAAATTTCCCTCACATCTTAACAAAGTATATTAGTAACTATTCTGATTTTCCAGGTCGCATTATCAATTAGTTGGTATGCATCATTCAACATAAACTTTGGAGCATGCATGATTCTGTACTTCTTACAGTTCTCCAGTCTTTTCCATTGAAAGTTTAGTTTCTTTCATGTAGCCACTTATGTTTTAACTGTATGGGTTTTATTTATGTCCATGGATATTCCTGTTTGCACATGTTACATCTTGTTTACTTTTCTTACAGTTTTGTTTAAAAAGAAATAGGTAAAAAGAAAATGGAAGAAGAAATTTATTGAATTTTCTACCCTCAGAAAGGTTGTTTTTGATAGTAATGAGTGGTGCAAGAAGATTCAAAACTACGATCTAACATTATTCCTATTTTTGGCCTTTCATATAGCTGACCCCAGAGTTATGGGTATAAGGCTTAGTTTGTTGTTGTTGTTGAATTTTCTAGCCTCAGGAGAATGGTGGTCAGGCCATTGTCATATTGTCTCTCTTAGGAACCCTTTTTGAAAAAGAAAATTGTGAAAACAGTTCACAGGAATTTTTTATTTGATATAATTTGTGATGCAGGAGGAGGAAGTGGGCATGAACCTGCACATGCTGGATTTGTGGGAGAAGGAATGCTGACAGCTTCCATTTGTGGAGATGTTTTCGCTTCTCCTCCAGTTGATTCAATTTTAGCTGTATGCTTTCTATTTCCTACTTTTTTTTTTTTGGTTTAAAAGGCTGTGCCATCCTGCTGATAATGTTAACATCTTCCCATATGTGATTGAAATTATTTCACCAGGGCATTCGAGCTGTGACTGGTCCTATGGGATGTCTTCTGATAGTTATGGTATTTTTCTTTCCTAATAAATCAGGTTATAGGTTTATATGATATCGATAGCTGTATTGGGTAATTTAGTGCTATTAAGATTTGTGCTCTAATTTTTTGTTTTGTTTTATAAGATTCCTCTTTTTAATTCTCGCCAACCTGTAAAAAAAAAAAAGAAGTTTGAAAGAGGTAAGTAAAATGAAAAACCATTGTTAGACTTATTAATGTAAAGGTTAGAAGCAAGTTTAGATTTGAAGCAAGGAGCATATTGTGGCTAATTTATTTCTTGTTCTAATTCATGGTATAACCATATGAACAGAATTATACCGGTGATCGTTTGAATTTTGGTTTAGCTGCTGAGCAAGCAAGGTCTGAAGGCTATAAAATAGAAGTATGTTTTCATGCTAAACATCATCTTTTTAAAGAAATATTTTTATTTCTTTGGATGTCCGAAGCATTTTAAGGGAGAATAAAATCAAAACATGGATACAATTCCTTCCCTTTGCAGACTTTAATTGTTGGAGATGATTGTGCATTACCTCCACCTCGAGGCATTGCTGGACGAAGAGGTTTGGCAGGAACTATTCTTGTTAATAAGGTTCTCTCTCTCTCTCTCATGCTGTTTGACAGGAGGTAAACTGCATAATTATAAATCGTCAATGGGATTTTCCACTGTGTATACTTTCTTTTTAATTTTGTAAAGTTGCTCTCTGTAAAGCTCTAACTTTAGCAAATTGGCTTTTTTCTTCTTAAAAAAATTTACTTGCGCTGAATTCTTAAAAAGCTGCTCTCTTCCTCTTTGTGGAATGCAGGTTGCTGGAGCTGCGGCTGCAGCTGGCCTTTCTCTTGCTGATGTTGCTTCAGAGGCAAAACGTGCATCTGAGGTGGTTGGAACTATGGGTGTCGCACTATCTGTTTGCACATTGCCTGGGCAGGTTACGTCTGATCGCTTGGGCCCAGGAAAGATAGAACTTGGTCTGGGAATTGTAAGTTACTTTATACTTATGTTTCTGTGGTACCAAGTGAAATTAGTTTTCTTTTTATTTTTATTTTGAGTTGATCACTTTTAGACTTTAGTTCTATACGCTTAGCCTTTGAGTGTTGTCTGGCACTATGTTTGTTTTCTGATTTGATTTCTACTTCAATACTTCTCAAGTTGAGCTAACGGGTGTTTTTCTCCCAGCATGGGGAACCTGGTGCTGCTGTGGCAGACCTCCAGCCTGTGGATGTAGTGGTTTCTCATGCTCTTAAGGAAATATTATCACCGGTATGTCTCAATAGTTGAGCACCAGCTTATCTTTTTTAACCCCCTACCCTCTTCATTACCTCTTAAGGAAAAAAGAACTTGTGCTACATACATCTCATACTACTTAGAGTTATGATGTCTGATGATATGTCTACTATTGCTTTTGTGAAGAAAATAGCCTTGAATTGTTTTCTCAAGTAGTTCAGCATGATACTGTTATGTCTTGTTTGGTTGTCATTTTTTGTTATTTTTGCTGCTGCTTTGAAGGTACAAAAATAATGTGCCTAATTTCACTGGAAGCTATTTAAGTTGCACTTTGGATTTAAATAAAAATAATACTTTTATTTGGTCTAATTGAGCCTTCCCCTTTCAAATTGGCTCATTTAAGTCCAAATATTAGTGGTGCTCAAGGCATGCTGTTCAATTATGCTGTTATGGTAAGATAAATGTGGCTTAGATCACCATAGAAGACTTTTAAAGAACCATTCAAGACAATTTGTTCCTAATTGAATAAAATAAATTGCTACCCATATCCTACTATAAAAAAATTAAAAAGAAAGAAAATTTTAGATTGTGGAAAAACTAAGAAATAAAACTGTGTGAAAAACTAAAAGTAAAACTGAATATATATTGAAAAACTGCGCATAAAGAATTATACAAGCATATTCTGTTTATTTACAACTAACCAGTGGGTAAACTAGGAAATTAAATATTCCAAAAAACTGATCCTATAATTGAGGGATTGTCTATCATATTTTTTTGTCCCTAATTCTAGGGATACAAATATAAATATACAGATTATAAGATTACAATCAGCTGTTAATAAGTATTTTCCAACACTTTCCCTCAAGTTGGTGAATAGGTGTTTTCCATTCCCAGCTTGAAAATAATTTCTTGAAATGTTGCACTGCTAAAACCTTTAGTTAAGACATCTGCAAATTAACCCTTGGTTGATACATACGATGTACAAATCAACCCATTGTTTAGTTTCTCCTTTATGAAATGCCGGTTTACTTCAATGTGTTTTATTCTGTCGTGTTGCACAAGATTGTGTGCAATGCTTATTGCAAACTTGTTATCACAGGAGAGTTTCATTGGTCCATCCCACTTGATCTTCCAATCTTCTAAGATAATCTTTAACCATGGTAGTTTGCTAATTCCTTGAGCCATTGCTCTGAACTCTACTTTAGCACTTGATCTTGCCACCACATTCTGTTTTTTACTCCTCCAAGTCAAAAGATTACCACCTAGGAAAGTGCAGTAGCCTGAGGTGGATCTTCTATCAATTACTGAACATGCGTAATCAGCATTTGTATATGCCTCTAGAACCAGTCCCGAATTTTTTTTGAATAAGATACATTTCCCAGGATTGGCCTTCAAATAGTGCAATACACGGTAGACAGCCTATAGGTGCACTTCTTTTGGACTATGTATAAATTGACTTATCACACTCACAGCATATGCTATATCAAGTCTAGTATGTGAAAGATAAATGAGTCTTCCAACTAGTCTTTGGTACATCTCTCTATCTAAAGCAGCATCTTCATTAGCTTCTCTAAGTTTATGATTAGAATCTATAGGGGTATTTGTAGGTTTACATGCGAGCTTCCTAGTTTCCTTCAGAAGATCCATCACATATTTTTGTTGTGAGATGAAAATACCATGCCATGAGTGAGCTACTTCAATTCTTAGGAATTACTTCAATCTCCCAAACTCTTTTATCTCAAATTCTCTAGCCAAACTTGTTTTAAAGATTCTTTCTCTTTTTCATCATCTCTAGTTACAATTATATCATCAACATACACTAATAGAACTGTGACTGTCCCTGAATCAGAGTGCTTGATAAACAATGTGTGATCTCTTTGACTCTGCTTATATCTCATTGCTAGTATCACTTTGGCAAATCTCCTGAACCAAGCCCTAGGAGACTGTTTAAGGCCATATAAAGCCATTTTCAGCTTGCATACTTTGTTTGCTTCTAGATGACCTCCAAATCCCGGTGGAACCTTCATATATATATATATATTTCTTCTTCCAAATCACCATGTAAAAAAGTATTCTTTACATCAAATTGTTGAAGCTGCCAATTGTAATTTTCAACCAATGATAACAAAACCCTAACTTTATTCATCTTGGCAACTAGAGCAAAAGTTTCCTGATAATCCACTCCATAAGTTTGAGTGTAGCCCTTAGCCACTAACCTGGCTTTATACCTTTTAATAGTACCATCCGTCCTGTATTTTATAGTGAAAACCTATTTACACCCAATTGGATTTTTTTCCTTTAGGCAACTCTAGTAGTTCCCATGTCTTATTTTTCTCTAAGACCTCAATTTTCATTTTCATGGGTTGCCTTCATCTCATTGGATTATGCCTCGGATCATGTAGTTGGAACAAAAATAGTGTTTAGGCTCACAAGAAAATTTTTGTGGGATGTTGAAAATTTTTCAAATGACACAAAATTAGAGATTGGGTATAGTGGATACATTCTCCAGTTCCTTTTCTAATGGCAATAAGAAGATCGTAATCACTAGTTATAGTTTTAGGAGATTCATACTCATTTTGACAAACAAAGTCAAAGGCTATAGTTACCTCATTTTCGAAATTAGGATTAGGTTTTTGGACTGGCACTAGTTCAGGATCTGAAACCTTTTTTCTTGAGTACACCTGTAATTCCTTCATAGAATCAAGAACAATATTATCCTTTGTCACATCGTCTGTGTTTGAAATGGGTTCAGACTCAAATTCAGTGTTTGACTTGGACTTGGAAGAAACAGATTTTGACTTAGAAGAATTAATGGGTGAAAATGTTGAAGAAGATGACAAATCAAGCAAAAAGAAGTTTTTATCCTTATCTTTCATGAATGAAGTCTCCCCTTAAAGATAAGTGTCATAATGTATAGATTCATAGACCTATCGCTAGACATGGATTAGAAGGAGTCGCCACTAATCTCTTTTTGTCTAGGTGTGATTGGCCACCTGATTGAATCTGATTTACAAAACAGATGTTAGATTCGGGAGTCGGTTACGCATGGGGAAGGTTGTAGCATCCCCATAACGCCCATCCAAGGATGGTACCAGTTTTGATTTCAAATTATCTAAGCCTTGATCATTTTTATGATTTACCAAATAATTCAATATTGAAAATTAACCCTAAAATTGTCCCAATAGTTTGGTAGCTATTTAGGATAATTCTCTCACCTCAGGAGTATTCATGGAGACTAGTGTCCCACTCTGAAGAGGCTCCGTCGTCGGATTTATTAATTTTTGTTAAAAAAAAAAACAGTAAAACCTCCCAATAGTTTGGTAAGTCTTACTTCAAAGCAATCCTTCAATAGTTTAGAGGATAAAAATAATTTTTGTTTATTTGAAAAGTCCCTTTTCCTTTTAAAAAAGATTTTTCTATTATTTTGAAAACTTTATTTACAAAGATTTTTTCAGTTTTTTATTCTTTTAAACTTATTTGAAAAATGTTTTTTATTTATTTCATAAATAAGTACAAAAAAATCATAATAATAAGTAATGTATTTTTTTCAATTTAATATAAGAAATAATAAAAGCAAATAAAGTAAACAAAATAAGAAAAATAGAATCAAAACAGAAAACGGAGTGGAAAAGGGAAAGAAAATACATGTGATCAGGTAGGGTTGTGCATGGTAAAACACACAGATCTTAATGTCTCACATTTCAGGCTTTTATTCAGAAGTGTTTTAGTATGCCTCTCTTTCTAAAATGTCTATTCTTCTGTCTTCTTTCTAACTGATTTCCAGAAATTGACGAATAAATCCCAAAAGTTGATAGGGAATTTCCAAGAATCCGACAAATTGTCTTGAAAGCTAAACCCAGAAATCTCTGCAATGCAAAACCCTACAGAAATTCAAACCCAAAAACACCAAAACCTAATCATAGAAAATCTAAACAAATCAAACCCAGGACCTAAAACCTCTTGGTTGCTAAACAAATTTCTCTTATTTTTTTCTCTCCAGAGTTTCTGCATAATTTTTTTCTCTCTCAAGAGTTTTTTTTTTTGCATAATCTTTTATTTCCCTCTCTTCCCTTGCTTTGATCACAGGTTTATATAGAAGTTCATGCTCAATCAATTCTCTTTAAATCCATGATTTTGTTTGATTTCCGTTTTAATGAGAATTGATTTTGAAATCAAATCCCAAAAATCTCTCCTTATCATTTTAATGTGAATTGATTATGGAATTAAATCCCAACAATCTCTCCATATCAAATGCCAATTGATTCTAGAATTAAATCCCAAAAATCTCTCAACTAGGGTTAAACTCCAAAAAAATATTTTTGGACAAAATGGGGTGTCTACAATAAGGTTGAGTAAAAAATAGTTTACTTTCTTCAAAAGTGACATCTACAGATACATAAATTTTTTTTTTGTAGGAGGATGGTAACACTTATACCCTTTCTGAGTTGATGAATATCCCACAAAAATGTACTTAATTGCTCTAGGATCCAACTTCCCTTTAATGTGACTATGAACATGAACAAATGATGTACAACCAAATATCCTAGGTGTGAGGTTGTTTGTAGTATTAAAGTTGGGATAGAATTGTGAGAGTAGTTCCATAAGAGTTTTAAATCTCAAAACCGTTGAAGGTAACCTATTTATAGTATGTGTGGCAGTGAGAACAGCTTCTCCCCAGTAGGATTTGGGTACATTTGCATGAGAAAGTAAAGCTCAGGTTGTGACTAGTAAATGATTGTTTTTCCTTTTTGCCACTCCATTCTACTACGAAGTATTACCACAAGATAACTCATGGATAATCCCCTCATTTTGGAAATAAGTAGATAAACTCTGGTTGAAATAGTCTCTTGTATTATCATACCTAAATCTCTTGATTTTCACTCCAAATTGATTATGGATCATGTTTTGGAAGCTTAAAAACACATTATTCACATTTGATTTGGATTTTAGTAAAAATATCCGAGAGACCCTAGTACAATCATTTATGAAGGAAATAAACTACTTTGCACTCGAAATATTAGGAATTGTAGAAGGAC